ACTACCTCTGGGTAGCATGCAATTAGGGGGAAAGCTGTAGGGTAATCCCTAGGCTCGACCCAAGGGGTGCTGAGTAGGAAGGAGATGTAGAATATGATGGTAGAGTCAATCAGGAAGTTAAATGTAGGGTGCAGGATTTAATCCTGCAGTGTTGTAGATGATTTGGGTCTGAATAGACTTGTTTATGAAATTCTGAGTGATGATCATGGCATGAGGAAGTAATTCCAAGACTTGTGAGACACAAAGGTGAGACACAAATATGCAGGGGACATGAAAGACATGGTAGATGCAGATTGATGCTAGAAATGCAGATGACACAGTAGACACAGAGGACACAGCAGACACTTTGAACACTTAGACACACAAATGACTTGGATAGTGACTCCAAAAGATGGGGTGGTATTTTTCTGTCACTGAGGCGGAATTATATAGTACATGGAGAGTAAGGTACTGATCAGGATGATGTGGGGCAGGTGAAGTAAAAATTCTGAAAAATAAAGGGAGACATGACAGATGTCAATGCACTACAGAATCATATGAAAACAAACTGAAAAGCAGTAACTGAGAGAAACAAAAGGGAAAGATGGGTATCTTTCACCAGAACAAGCATACCACATACCATAGAGTAGCATATGCAAAGGATAGAGGCCATAGATGCAAAGGGGTTCTCACATTGTGGAGAAAGATTCACAGGAAAGGAATGAGAGGGGTAACCAGAGTTTATTACTGATGATCTGTGTGATTTCCTGGCTACATGGTGAGGTGAAGGATGAGGTGACACAACTGCAGAATTCTGGATAGACATATGTCAGGTTGATGTTGACATGGAATTCCAGGACAATGACTGGTGTGTATTATTGATGGACAGGGGAGCTCCAAAGGTTCAACAGGTGAGGCAGCACACAAGGCTGATGCACAAGGCTGATGCAATAATTCCAAAGATGACAGATGTGGAACTCTGATAGGGGTTGACTTTGGTAGTGGCAGAATTTTGGTGTTGGCATCAAACCAACAGAACCCTCTTCTGTCTCCTGCCTGGAGCAATCTGAATGAAATTGCACATGAGCAGGTTACCCTGCTCTTGAGACTCTTTGATATCCTTGGAGGTGCTGACCTCATTTATAACATCTGTCAATATCCTATGTTGATCACTCCCCCTCCCCCTGGGTCTAGAAGGCCCTTGACTGCAACCTCCCCCCCAGTATCTTCCATGTTGTCCTCCCCTCCAGCACCATCACTGTCATCCTCCCAATCATCCCACTCTCTTCAAAGAGCCAACAGACCCTGTGCCTGCTGCTTGTCTGGTCCCAATCCCCAACCTTGCAAGTCTCATGGCTTGTCCTCACTGTCTGTCATTGACCTTGAAGTCACTTTCAGCATCTCTGAAGCCAAACTTGTGTATACTATGGGTCAGGTTGAGACCCTTGCTGAACTGCCACCATCCCCTGTGCTAAACACACTCACTGAAGCTGATTGCCCTCTTTCCCTGTCTGATCCACACTATCATCAAGCATGCTATGTCGTTTGCTGCCTTGGGTGTATCAGGGTCGACTGTGGCCTTTATGAATGCCCCCTTTGCTGCACTACTCATCCTGGGCATACTCAAGCCCAATGCCCATCTCTTTGCCCTTGATGACCATTACAAGAAAGAATTGCCACCCCCACTTTGGTAGATGATTGTACCCTCATCAGGAGCAAGGATAATGATTTGTATGACAATGACAATGACTTTGATGACTCAGCTATCAGTAACATGACTGGAGAACCTTATGGAGAGTAGTTGAAGTTGGGGACCTCAACACTTAGAAGGGGGGTAATGTTATGTTTTACCTTGTTTTCTCCTGTCTTACTGTACATTTTACCTTTTGTCTGATCCATTGGACTGCTTTTCCTTTTAGAGTTGTCTTCTCTCTGATCTGATGGCCCACTATTTCCACCACTGGCATTTCCCTCTTGTTATGTGCTTTGGACATATATTGCTATCGTTCAACCAATAGCATAGTTACCTTGTTATATGTGGATGCCTCATAGTGTGTCCCCTTGTAGTATTTAGCCTGCCAGCTCAAGTCCTGGGACCCCAGACTTGAGCTGCTCAATCATACCCAGTGTTCTCAGAACTTTGCCCTCAGTGTCCCTTACAAGGACTACTCTTACCAGCATTAACCAAAACCTTTGTCATTTACAAAGGTTACTGAAGCTGCTGCTCAGTAGAAACCCTCAGTCTGTGGCTGAGCTCCCCTTGCACCTTGACTTCAGTCTTAGTGTAACACACTTGGTAAGTGATTGGTAAGTGATAAGTAAGAAACATAAGTGGTGGGTAATTGTCTTAGAAAGCATTGGTGAGCATTGGTAAGGATAAGTAAGCCATAATGTGAACAATCAGCAAGCAATGTCAAAAGATTGGTAAGTATTGGCAATAGGTGAGTCAAAGACAGTCAGAATGTCAAAGTATGAGCCAAGCAATGTCAGGAACTGGGAAAGAAGACTGGAATCACATTAGGGGGAGGCTGTGCATGTCACATCTCAAAGAGATTGCTTCTGGGCCAAAGTGGGATGACAGAGAGGCAGTGCTGATCTGATGTTGATTTAGTACATCCAAAAGTGGCCAGGGTGAGTCAGATGTCAACAGGGGTCAAGCTTTGGGGGTCTGTGGGGTGACAGGAGCATAGGGGATTGCAACTTTCCCCCCTTAACTGTCCTCTCAGTGAAGCAAATAAAAAATTCATGTATGAGGCTCTGTTGGAAGAGAGGACAAAGGGGGAGCATCTTCTGCTGTATCTTGCAATAAGGAGGCAAGATGTGAAGAAGTTTGTGGGGTTGTAGAGGGAAACCCAGAGAGGAATCTGCAGGGAACCTCAGTAGTCTGTCAAGCTACTGAGGGACTAGGTAAATTTTACTAGTGTATGGGTGTGCTCTAACAGCTTATGTAAGTGACATGATGTAGGGAATGTAATTTCCCTCCCAGGGGAATTGGTTTATTTTCCTTGTTTTACTTGGTTTTCATTCCTAGATACTTTTTCTACAAGTTATACTTAGATTTCGCTTTTTTGGTTGCTTAGTCAGCAGTATTGCTACTTGTGTATGTTTTTCCTTTGGAAACAATAGACAAGTTACCACAGACAAGAGACAAAATTGAGCAGGTCATTTCCCTGCACCCAGACAGCCATAGAAGCCCTCAGATGACCCTTCCATCCAGTCCCAGGCTGTAGAAGCCCCTTTTGGCCTACTCTCTCCCATCAGATTTCACCCTTCCCCTCAACTTCTCTCTTCAACTAGATGTAGGAATAGGTAATGGATAGATACCTAGAAACAGTAATTATCAGTAAATGGGCTAGTATAGTGCTTGACCCAAAAGGGAGGTTCTCTCTGGAGAAAGAAGTGTAGTAAAAATGTAAAAATGCGAACTGAAATGAATACTTAGCTCTGCCTGTCTAATACCTCTTGCCAGTCCTCCTGGCCCTTTGGGTACTCCACAAAGTAATAATTCTAACTTCAAAAACTTGCCAAAATGCAAGACAAAATCACCCTACTACTGAGGGCCTGTGACATGGACTGGTTTTTTGGTAAATTGAACTTGCATGAACTCAGCACACATGCTTAGTCAGCAACATGGCTGCTCACCACCAAGTCCAGTGGTACAAACATGAAAACAAAACAAGAAACAAAACAAGTCCCTCAACCCCTAAACCCCTGACCAAGATGACTTCTCCTAGGGAACTCAAACCCATTCCCTACATCCGAGGGGTGGTTTAGAATTCAACCATCCTCGGTCGCTCTCCTCCTTGCACAAACATCCTCGAACTCGTCGGCTTCACCATATACCCTTCGTCCTCAAACTCCCTCGACCTCACAGAACAACCCTCTCAGCCCTCAAAACTTCTCGCCTTGAACACAACTCATTGCGCCCACAAAATTGCCACCTGGCCTCGAACGTACACTCTGCCTCTCAAGCACTCCCCTCACAACCTGAACTTCGGACCAAACAACAACGGAGATAAACTCCAGGCACATGAACAAGTGAGTAATAAATCGAGTGCGGAGCAAGTCGAAGACTGGTCTTCGAGGCGCAGTCTCTATGCAAAACAGTAACGTGGTGTGACGCAGCACTGTGGCTGGTACAGCGGACATTTGCCCTTCACGAGGCAGTTCAAAGACATATGTACCTAAAAAAAACTCTCGCTCAGTCATGTATTTACCACCCTTATACGCATATGTGCTCTTGACTCCTGCTCGTCCTTAAGACGATCCAGCACATAAAAAAAATGAAAGAAAACTGAAAGTACATGTGGGGGTGAGTAGAATCACCCAAAGACTAGCGCGACTCGGTTGAACGACGTCGCACAAAGCTAGACTGGTATTAAGGGAATGTATATGTCGATACGCTCACCGTGGCTATCGCTATACCATCCTCTCGCTCTCCTACCCTCGACTCTCTGCGCGCGCACATCCTTGATTTCGCATATCTCGTCTGGTACCGAGTCCGGCGGACGAAGCCCTTGTGCTAAGTGTTGCCAAGCGACCTTGAGTCGCCCATCTTCGTTCACTACTTTTTCACTGCTAGAAACAAAGTATCTCAACGTAGCATATGTTCGAACTCTAACAAAACCTGTCACCTTGGATCTGTAGACCCTCGAGCCTGCTTCGAAGATAGGTGTTCGACCCCGACAGGTGTAGGTGCTAATTTCACTCGATCTTGGTTGTCGGCCTTTGACCTCGCAGTCGGGCGGACGAAGTCTTGATGTGGAGTACTGATGAACAGCGTTGAGCCATCCATCCCCATCGATTGTCTTTTCCTTCGCGCAAGGGTACCTGTTCCTCGCAGTAGGTAATGTTCGAATCAGAACTGAAAAGGGCACCTTGATCTCGTAATTTCCCTTTCTGAGTGTCCCTTCCAGCGCCCTTGCCTTCAACACTCCTCTCGCCTCGAGGAACTCCCCCCTTGGGGATCAGTCTTTGCTTTGTTCGATGCCAGCCCTTTGCTGGTAACTGACCCTTCGCGTTTGAACTCGTCGAATGCCCTAACACCGAATACCTGTAAGTAAGTTATCACGAAAACAAAAAGAAACGAAGAGCGCTCGGTCTCTGTCTAAGAATCCACGTCGGCTTGAACATTCTGCATGCGACTCCATCGTTCCAGCCAGCATCGCCCTTCCTCGATCTTTGCATATTGCTCGCCCTCTCGCCTACTCGAACTCGCTTCGTCTTCTTCTCTTCCAGACGTCAGTAGCCACCTGTCGATTCCTTCGTATGTCCTAGACCTCCACATGTCCTTTGCTCGTAGTTTGTCATAGTCTCTTGCATCGCGATCGCAATTCGTTGCAGATGTCCGTCTTCCCGAATCCCCCACTCGTAGTAGAACCGTCGAATTGTCTCGTGTAGCTTCGATTTGATAGTCCGGTGTTCGTTCTCGTGTGTTGCTTTGCACTTCCACACCGCAGCCACTTGGATGTCGCTCCTACTTCTTTGTAGACACTGAACTTTCCTATAGTAACGTAGCTGTAAGTGATATGACACAAAATAAAGGAGAAAGATCGAGCTGCCGAGCTCAGCACATGAATCCTCTATGCCCCTCCCCTGTCGAGATCTCTCTTGTACCTTTAAGGGCGATAGTCTTCGCTCGTACTCGTCGTATATCCCTGTAAAGTCCAAGATACAACCCGGCCCTCCAACTGCGACGAAGAACGCTCGCCCCTCGACTCGAGAACAGTCGAAGGGGTCCGTGAGTTCACGCGGGTCAAATGGGGTGTTGAACGTGGATAGGATGGATTCAGTGTTGGGTGCAGGTGTGACATAGGGACTGAGTGTCTGCATGGAACTGCGCATCATGCTGTGATATTCGGTTGTGGCACATATGGGAGAGAGAGCACGGTGTAGGGATTCGTTGAGCGTTGCCGCCGTGCTCTCGGGGTCTAGCCTGAATTCGCTCGGCGTGGTAGAGTGGCAAGGCAGTAGACTACACATGTCAAATGGCTTGTGTGAACAGGATGTTCGTCCGTCGACCTTCACGACGTCGGTGCCATTAAATACGATGCCTGCGGAACTCGTATAGACGAGCCTACGGACGCCAGCTGCGTCGATGACGGCTCGGGTGCCCTCGACGTTGACCTTGATGTAGACGGAGGGGTCTTTTGTGCCTTGCGGCCATGAGGCTATGTGTGCTATGTGTATGGTGCCCGACTTGTTCAATATATCTCCCAATCCAAACGAGACACAGCTGTGTCTCTGCACGATATCCAGCACGGAGACGGTGTCTCCCTTCGTTAACTGTCCAATGATACGTCACCCTACGAAACCACTTCGATCGTTGATAAGGTAGGCGTCTTCTTCTTGAAGGGACTCGGTTGCAGGTCGTCCCGATCTGGACCTTTGTACTGTAGACGCATCGACGCTCGAAGATTTGTTGCTACTCTGTAAAAACTCGTGTTCCGTGAAACAATATAGCTTTAAGTAAAATACTTGAAAGAAAAAACTAGAACTTGGGCCTTCAGGTCCACTCAGCACGATCTCGAAGCTGCTCGCATGTCGCGCATCTTGTTGCGACTCCGAATTCCACTGTCGCACTGCCATTTGTAGCAGTTCCTGTGTACGAGTCCGCAGAGTCGCTCCGAACGTTCCTCGTGTGACTCCTCTTGGTTTCGCTCGTCGCTCTGTAAGCCGACGCGTCCTTTCTTCTGATTCATTATCTATTCTAGAATAATGTACCTGTAATTAAAAAGCCATGAAGCAAAAATAAAAACTTGAGTCGTCGGGCTCCATTTCCACGTTCGTCGGATGTCGTATCCTCGACGATCGTCGTTGATGTTCGAGCTGTAGTCGTCGCACCAGCCTTGCTGTACTTCTGCATGACGTTCGATCGCAAACCACCGTAGTTTTCTCTATCGCAATCGTAGTTTGTTGTAGGCATTCGCCTTTGCTAGAATAACGAAGATGTGAGTAGCATATCCTGAAATAAACTCGGGATCTTGAGCTATCGAGCTCGTCGTTTGTCTCCACTATGCCTCGTATCCATCGTACTGCCACTCCCGCGTTGCGCGGCCTCTGGTCTGTGCCAAGTGTCGTCGTTGTCGCTGTTACTCTTGCTGTCGTCCTTGTTACTGTCACTTTTGCTCGCTGTAGATGTAGCTTCCATACAATACCCGCTATTCGTGGTAGTTTCCGCGCACAAATCTGTTGCGCTGTAACTCGACACATTCTTTCTTCAAGACCGTCGTCTATACTAGGATACCGTAACCGTAAGTAAAAAGTCGTGCAACAAAAATAAAAACTGGACTCGTTGCGCTTCAAGCGCATGAACGCGTCTCCACAAACGGACGGCTCCATCAACTTCGGGTGTTTCCTGAGCACGGTGAGCAATCGCAATGAATGGTGATTAGGTTGTGGGTCGAGTCCGAGCGCGGCTCGCTCGATAACAGCGTTGATGGCCTTGACTTGGACTGGCGGTAGGAAAGCCTTCTCCTCGTAGGTAGTCATAGGTATTCGTACCGCGCTCGCGTGAACGCTGACTGCGCTTCATCGCCTATACCCATTTTCCCTAGAGTAGAAACACTGTAAGTAAAATGCTCTGAATTCAAAATGGAACCTTGAGCCGTAGTGCTCAGTATCAGCACTCGTCGCGCCCCAATCCCATCGAACGGCTGTTCTAGCCTCGCGCGGCCTTCGATTGGCATCAAAGCTTGTCGTCGTCATCGCTGTTGCGCCAGTCGCTGCTGTTGCTCGTACTTTAGTTTCCATTGTCATCATCACTCGTAGTTGCAGTAACTTCCACATGGTATGCCCCTCACCCCATTCTTATACAGAGGGACCATGCCTAGTAAGCTGTTTCGGTCGACGAAAAGACATCTATGAAATTTGGTCAGATGCATAAACTGTCTAGGCAAGTTAGTGGTAGACAACGATCCTGCAACACCAAGTTACAGGACTGTGACCAGGACACTGAATCCTGGTTGCTGGAAGGCAACCCCAAGATGCCACCAGCACATCTCCAATAGTTAGCCTCCAGCATAGAAAAGTGAACTGACCTTTGCACACAACTAGTGAGGGTGATGGGGAAGGAGACAGAGCAAGTGTGCAATGAACAAGATGAGATTGCAATTGTGGTGTGCTATGAATATCATTCAGGAAATGTACAGAGTAAAAATTGTGTCAGGGAATGATGAAGGAGGTTACTGACTATTTGAACTGTAACCATGCAGTGCAGTTGGAATAAGGCAGGGAAGAAGGGGCAGACAACCAAAAGTATCAAAGAATGACTGTACATAAAATATAGCCAACTTCTTTTCCATTGCCCAGACATGTGACAATGACACTAATGGCATAATTGGCTCTGCCAAGTCCAAGGGGCATCCTGGCCATACAGCAAGTAATGCCCAGAGCTTCTCTATGTACTCCCATTTCGATTGAAAGTCAGATGATCCAAGGCCTTGATTTTTCTGAGGGAAAGGCTCAGCACACATGGTGAGTTCCAAATCACCAGGGAAAATCTGCATAGAGTTCAGAAACAGCACATTCCTGGTGAGGTAAAATTGTACATACCTGCCAGACATGATTGACCCACTCTGAATCCCAATTTGACCACAAGCTAGGCATCATTACACAGTCAAGAGTGACCAACTTGAACTGGAAGTTGTGTTCATATAAATCCCATAAAATCTTGCTTTTTGTCATCTGATTGATGGTAGTGAGGTCTGTGAGGGAAATTGAAATATCCTGGAATTGTACATGGCTAGGTATGTCATGTTGGAGGCTGACAAGCTTGGGACCAAAGAGGGCAGCAGATTCACATAGTCAGTCACCAGAAAATGTGGATGAAATCTGCTTGGGAATTGTGTTCAGGAAATCCTGCCAGGACTGAGGGATAACAGGAGATGCATCTGAGGCAGAAAGATGAGTGATCCAACCTGCTTGAGAGACTAGCCAATTCCTCAGGTACCTCTGCTGGTGATTGGAGGACTCACCCCTCACAAACAGACTTGGACTGGGAAAGAAGTAAGCTACCTTGGGCATGTTGGGACTAACCCTTTTTGCATCCTTATTCACATACTTTCAGGGCAGTGTGCCATGTGGACATAGCAGGGGGAATAGCTGGATCACCGAGGTCTTCCCACAGTTCAGGATTCAGAATGACCAATGGCTTGGCTCCTCTCAAGCCTGCAGGGGGATCTGAGCAAAATGTTAAACACATTGAGACAAAATGAATAGGATATGTACATGGCTGATTACATTGTCAGGCCCTGCCCATCCTAACAGCTCCTGTACTTGAACTTGCACTGCTGGAACTTGCAGCATTGGAAGCCATGGGACCTGTGCTTGTGGGAGTTGAGGCCACACCACTGCTGGTGCACAGTGGTTCTGGCCAGGGAGCTGCAAATTGCTCAAGCCCAATCACTGGGCCTCATCGAGTGTGCCTGTGGCACAATTCACCTGGGTGGTACCAGGTGCTGTGCCATTTCAGCATCTGCCCAACCTCACAAACCTCAGGATCCATGACTATGTCATGAGGGCACATAATCTCGATGGTCTTCAACACTTTGGGGGTACACAATCAGGTTTCCAGACCATCCAGACAGGCACATGTATTTCAAAAAGGCACTGGCAAATGTCAGGGTCTGTTGTGAATGCCCTGATCCAGCAGTCAAATGAATCAACAAAAGTGCCCATAGCAGGGTTGAGGTCTGTGTCCAGATATTCTAGCATGCCAAAGATGTCTAGGAGGAGGCATTGACAAAAAGCAACCAATATGACTGTGTCTCAAAATATAAATGGGAGTTGCTAGAGAAATTTTTAATTGATGAAATCTGAACCAGAAAAAAATCATACCTTCAGATGCAGGAGACATCACTGACATGACCCCAGCCACAAATCAGGTCTCAGAGGACCTGTGTAGTGGGGGTGCTTTGTTAGCCAATCTTGCAAATGTTCATCTAGTTGATTATAAATGGTCTCCATTGACTTCCACTTGTCAGCATAAATCCTGCCAACTTTGAGGGCAGACCCTCTTTCCAGCACAAAATCCTCCACTGACTGGGTAATGTTCCACCACAGCCACCTCCACATTGGGTCATCTCCATAGGCCACTTTCCAGGGGACACACAGACTCCATGTGTAGTGTTCTGTGAACAACTGTGGCCATTGAAAACAGTCTATATGGCCAAACTATCCATCATGTAGGGGTGTGATTGTTTCTCCATTGAAGATGAAGGGTTGGGAAACATAGTCAGCATTCAGTGATGTGATCCAGTGGTCATCACACTTTGCTAGGACATGCACATTGAATGCACCCCATCTCCCTGAAAATAATGATAATCAATTTGAGCTGAGTTAGGGACAGCAAGAATGCACCATCACCAGGGCAGTTGTGCAATGATAATTCATAAGGGTGAATGCTAGCTACATTCATCCTGGAAACAAAAGAAGTCAGTCAGTACTTACTTAAATTGACAGAGATGATGATGAGTGGAGAAAAAAATGAATCATGCAGCATTAAGGCCAGTGAGACTGAAATGAAATGAGAATGTTGCCCTAAATAGGCCCCAAGCCTATCAAGAACTCATAGGCACCAAACCCCTGAGACCTGACAGATGAACACTCCAAACATTCATGGAAAGAGTGACTGGGCCATCTGGAAAAGTAAGATGGATAAGATAGAGGGAAACTTACCTTGCACTGAATTGGTTTATATGGAGGGGTATTGGAAACTTGAAGTAGTAGGTAGCACTTACTAGTAGTAGTGAGAGATATTATGGGTACTGCTGTGCATGTGACCTGCACTGCAAATGAATGTGACACCTGACTTACAGTGTGCTCAAGGAAGACATTGAGTCTAGGCTCTAAATTGTCAATTATTCAGGTGATTAGATATAAGTTGTGTGTTCTGTATTTCATTCCTCAATGTTCCAGACTGCCTATTGTAATATTTGTGGGAGATGCATTCGTGCATTACAGTAATGACATGTTGATAAGCTACTTATAGCAAGTCCTAGTTACAAGTACTAGTGTGCTGTTGCTACTTTGTTAATAGATTTGGCCACTTTTACTGATGTGACTGAAGTTTCAATGAATGACAGAATTTTAACATGTCATTTCACAATTGCACAATTGTTACATCATCACAGCCAAAACAAACATTTGCACCACCTGCAGCTAGTACTTAGCAACACTCTCATCTTCTGTATGCTGTCCACATGGTATTGGGGGAATGCTCAGTGCATTCCTCTACCATATGTCAGGGGCTTGGTGCCCTTGACAGCCTTGAAGGCTTGGAGCCTTCAAGGGTGGTCTTGGTGTCCAGTGGATGCAATGATCAATTGCATGACAACAGTCAAGACTGACCCTCATCTTTCAGCAACATTAATGAAGGTTTTGTGGGTCAGTGCTTTTGACTTAAGTTATGCATCATTATGCTTCACAGTCTACTGACCCATTTACCAGTGCATACTATGTGTACTAGGTCCATCATTCTCCCCACCTCCAGCTGCACTCTATCATTCTGCCTGGCCAGTATATGCCTTCTATAGTGATGCCCTTGTCTCCCCACTCATCTACCATTGGTACAGATTCAGTGATTGATTGCATAGATGATAGTGCAGTTCTCCCCTCACCTTTTAGTCCCAAAGATTTGAGTTAGCAACATATACATTCATATCTATCCCTGCTGATCAAATATGTGGCATGTTCCTCTACAGTATTGGAGACTTGGTGTGATGTTACCTTCAAGGGCAGTGATTCTGATTGTTGATCTCAAGTTCTCCTTTCTACTACAAATTTTCTCCAGGTTGCCTCATGATCAACCATGCAGGGTTCTAACATGGGTACATGGTTAGCTTCTCAGTGTATCTTATCCATTGATTTCTGCTACTTCCTCCAGGGTATTATGAAGAGTTACATCACATCTAAGTGCATGATTTGTTGTGGTTGAACTTCTGGTTTTCCCACAATGGCTTCCAACAAATGGGGAAAGGGAATGAGGTAGCCTTCTGCTGGAGATCTACCATCATACTTACAATTCTCTGCACATTCACTCTCCAGCCTTTCCTTCCCATTTCCTGACCCACCATGTCCAAAATACCTTTGCCCAGTACTGGATTGGATATAAGCTCTAGCAACCTTAGTACATGTTTTTCTGACTAACTCCTGATGACTAACACATTTTGGCACAGGCACTCTAATTACTCTGATTGGAAACCTTGAATTGAATGCAGCAGATGCTGAAATGCTAGCAAGCACTTTGTTACTAAGATCTCACACTGAAGGTGAGTACATTCTTAAGTGACATTTCTGGACTGATCATATTGCAGCCTTCATAGGGTCATCTGGCTCAGCAACCCACATACCCCATGGTGGCATTATGCCCATTGAGTCTGGGGGTTTCAGGATTGTTGTCCCATGAAGAGTGTACACCTGCCACCTTATCCCTGTCAATCCCCATTTATGGGGAATTTCCCACATTGATACATCTAACACCACCTAACTCAACTGATCCCTCCACTATTCTTGTCCACAGCCACCCAGATTGTGAAGCAAGGGTTCCATATCTAGTGGATGACTGTGTGCATACTCCCACTGGAATTTTTTTACCATATCCATGTAAAGACTAACAGCTATTGTATTATCCATTGGCAAGTATTTCTTGCAGCAGTCTCCAATTAATTACTATGAAGTATAAATCCTGAGGCTGCATATTGCATATAGCAGCCTGACTGTGAGGCAAGTCACAACTTGGCACTTTCCATCCTTTGTAAATTTCTACCATTCAAGCTCTACCACTTAGCAATGGAATGCTTGGAGCATCTCTCTGCTAAATGTCATGGGCTTGGTGCCCTTGACAGCCCCTGAAGGCTTGGAGCCTTCAAGGGTGGTCTTGGTGTTGATCCAGTGATCAATTGCACAGACAACAATGACCCTCATTGCTCAGTACTGGAGATTTGTTTCAGCAGCAACTTCACCCAAAGGTCATCATACCTCCAACATTCAGTCTACATTATATGCTTGATTTGGCTATTGATTGCATGAAAGGGACTGTGTCTATTGGACTGCATCGACCCTGCTCTTGTCAGTGACTGCCCTTAGGGGCTTGAACAATTCACTTTCCATCTAGTAAGCCCATTCCTTTCTCTATTGCTGGATACTGATGAACTCTTGTGGTTTTTCAGTCTTGAGGAAACTGACTTTCTGGGTCGCACAGACAGAATACCACTGTTCTGGATTTCAATTGGAATTCCACCTGTATGTTTCCATTGTAATAGGTGTGTCATCCTCACTACACATTACAACCACTTCTTTCCTGTGTGCTTTTCCTTCATCCCCCTTACATCATGTCCTCTTTTCATGGTTTCATATGTCCTTGCTGATGCTATACCCAGAACTTTGCACACTGAGACAACATGTTCTAGATGGATTTTTTTTCCCATATGGTTCATCTTGGCTTGATGTGCTCTGACCTTAAATACTCACCTTGCCTCCCCCCATTTCTCAACACCCCCATACAACCATGCCCCACTCTGCTGATATCCTGGAGCCTTTGAGGGACTCCATTGCTGACTTGAACACTTGTGTTCTTCACAACTGAAGGATTCCATCCTCACACAATGCCCCAGTTTCCAAACAAGTAAAAAAAGGTGGTGCTGTTGTCTCTAACAATGGAGTGCAACACTCAGAGGTACATCTTGTAGTATATTTCTCATCCATTACTCTAATGTCATTTTCTGCTCACAGCAATCTACTCCAAAGGATATGATTGGCAAACTGAAACTGCAGTTCACAGTCCAGCCTCTTGAAGGCTGGGAAGAACACATGATTGTCCTGAGAGATAGAAGACACTCCTTGACACCTTGTCCTTCCATCATGAACACCTCAATGCTCCCTTCCCCTTTCCTGCACCTGGATGACCAAATCTGTGATGAGGACTCTGCAATGGAGGAGGTGGAGGAGAATCCTGACAACAATGAAGATGAGGATGACCAGCCTTCCAGTAATGAGAATGAGGATGATCGGCCATCCAGTAGTGAGAATGAGGATGACCTGCCATCTGGTAGCAAGAAAGAGCATGACTGGCTGCCCAGTAGTGATGATGACAACAAGGGTTCTGATTACAATGAGAATGAGAATGATGATGAGGAGATGGAGAGCTTGAGCAACTCCTGTGGTAGGTTTTTCCATTTCATATCCCTCATTCTCTCACATTTTTTTCAGATAATTCTCATTTCTTTTGATTTTGGGGTTTGGTGCCTCTCTGGTCATGCAATGGTGGGCTTGGTGCACACTTGTGTTTCAAAGCTTGGTGCTTTGGATACTCATGACCATTATATGCATCTGCCTCATGTTGACATGTTGACTCCTAGATGATGATGATGCATGTGCTCACACTGCTCAGACCATTTCTTGTGCCCAGTCCCTGCTTCCCCCATCCTCACCAAGAAGGTGGCCTGATCTATACTAGACTTCAGAAGAAGGGCAAAGGTAGGGCTATAGATGCTGAGGACATTGATGCTGCAAACCATGGTGACCATGACACCCAACTCCCAAACCTCAAGAAGCCAGGGAATCTGTCCACAGCAGCATTAGACAAAATACGTGCTTTTGCGAAGGACATCAAGACAACAGTGGAAGAACTTGGCTGATGGCATGGGTGGTCTACATGCAACATACTCATCACTGTGGGATTTAGTGTTAAGGCTTCTCATACCAAAATTAATGAAGCCAACCTCTTCCACTCATGGTATTGGGCCATGCAGCCCAAACCAGATGGTGGTATGACTTTCCTCCCTCTCACATCTACTGTTCTAACATCCTGACCAGCCAATCAAAATTCAATCAACAAGTTGATTATGAAGGAGTACAACACCCTCATGATAGGCATCCCCAAGGATGACTTCACAGCAAGGAAGGGAAAAGTTAAAAGTTGTCTATGAGTGGAGTGAGAGCTCCTCTGCCATACCAACTAATCAATCTGTCAAATCTATTGCAGCTAGAGTGGACAATGCAAAGACACAATTTTCTGGATTGGTATGTGGTTGCAACTGTGCAGCCATCGATTCTGATTGTTCCACAGGCAGAGGTGTGGTTCAATCTTGAGGATATTGAGATAGTTGGAGTGGTAATGTATGTTGGACAGGACCCTGCAGGATGTCAAACTTCTGGCATATTTGGAGGCTACTGAGATGATGTCACACACCAAAGGTGTTTGGTGAGGTGGACATGGATGTAGCTGATGAATGGAGGTGAAGATCATAGCCCTCATGCGAAGAAGGACAGCCAGCAATGTCAGCAGTCATCCCTCGCACAAGAACAAGTTGTCGGTGCCAAAGAAAAAGGAGGAGGCAAGTTAAGCACCAATAAAATTCTTAAGTGCCCATGTACAGCATTCCGGTTTTCGATGTATCTCCACCAGTTCTGCAGACACCGAAACCATTCCCACACTCACTTGTAGTGCTCAGCCATGCAATCCTACCTTCCAGGATTGGAAAGGATTTGCACACTCCACACGTTTCTACAGCACTCCCTCCAAAAGACACTCATTTTGCTAATTCTTCTGATATGGCTGCCTCCACATCAGTCATTTTGCTTGTCCCCTTTGCTAGGGACCATGGCTACATATATCTACCAGGAGTTCCTACCAGCTTCCATCCTGAAGCATCCTGGTACATCCCACCCTCATCTGCCCCCTCTCAGCCCATCCAGCTTGGACAGCATGTTCTTTTTGTCAGTATGACCTCCAGGAGGATGTTCTTTGGTTGCCTCAGGTCTGTCATTCACTTGGAAAGGTCTTATGTGGTCGTTTCAGTCTCTCTGGTCCAAGAAGCATATGGATCCTTCCTCCCTGCCCCCTGCAACATCTTCATACCAGTCTCGTCCATCATTCTTCCAAAATTGCGACAGCTACAGTATAATCTACTGTTCTCCACTCTCCCTGATCGCATCCATGATGAGTATGATGCACATCTTGCCTCCTTGTTGCAAGATACAGCAGAAGATGCTCCCCCTTCATCCTCTCTTCCAACAGAGCCTTGTTCATGAAGTTTTTATTTGCTTCACTGAGAGGATGGTTTTGGGGGGAAAGTTGCGATCCCCTATGCTCCTGTCACCCCACAGACCCCCAAAGCTTGACCCCTGTTGACATCTGACTCACCCTGTCCACTTTTGGATGTACTATATCGGCATCAGATCAGCAGCTGCCTCTCTGGATGCTTGGTCATCTTGGACTTTTCCTTCTGCTTGTGATATCATGCTTACACAATAGTTAGTCAGGCTGTGTCTTGCTGACACCACATGTTTGCATTTGACCAATAGCATAGTTATCTCTTTTGTTTACTTTCTTCTCAAGTATTCTCTCATGGCAGTACATACTGTACAAACAGTAAGGCAGTATATAAGTCCTGTCATTTGTCATAGCCAGTTCCTTAATCTAGTTCATTTTGAGTCTGCTTCTCAATCAACAGGTTCCACTCCCATTCTCTCTGGTTTGAAGTGATAGCTGAGAAGACATTCATCTTTGGATTGCTTCACTCAAACTAGATTTCTACTTCCCCCCTATCACTTCATACCCAGTGCTGAGGGTCAATGGCAGTATGATACTCATACTGAGCAGTTCCACACATAGTTTCTTCTTGCCTCCATCAGTGTGACTGAGAGCACCTGAGCAATGAAGCCAGTTGGCCAAGCATCTTAGGGAGTTTTATAACTACATATATACACTGTCCCAAGGTTGAGGTTGGTGTATGCAGGGCAATGCTTGATCAAGAGGGCCAACAAGGTTCCAATGCAGCTGAACCATACATAGTTGTAGTTCCTGCATGGCAGTGGAGGTAGACCAGTAGTTGACATCCTTGCACCCACTGTAGTTTGCATAGTTGGCCAGGCTGGTCCCTCCCTATTGCTAGGAGGTTGATCAGACATGTGACAGTGAGCAGACTACATGTTTAGTGGTCTTGAACATCATCAGTGAGTAGTACACCTACATAGCTTTTACTTTACCACCATTTCGTCCCATCAAGAAAGAAGAGGCTGAGCTTCATCTCCCTCTTGGGTTCCTCCCTTACAAAAGGGAACTCTCTACCCCATGCCTTTCATGCTCACTGTCCATGCTCACACTGCTCTCTCTTCCCCCTCTTGAGCTTTTCCATGAGGTAAACCTGGAGCTCATCTGCCCTTCCCCATCCCCTTCTCCCAACCTGAATGAACTCAGGTTCATCTTCAACACCCCCTACAACCTTTGGAACCATCATTCCATCCACTGCCCCCTTTGTTTCCCAGTCCCCTTAACAAGCAGGAATGGACCCTGACCAGCATCAACCCCTGCCATTTGATTATGCCATGGTACAGGCAATGGTGGCAGCAATGGCACAAGCCATGCAGCAGTTCATACCAGCAGCAGCACTGCAACAAACACATAACTTCAACCCCATGAAAAGAGGTGTTGCTGAGCCTGGAACCTTCAATGGGTCCATGGTGATATATGAAGAGTAGGTCATCAAAATGAGGGCCTTCCACAAAGCAGCAGTCCACCACTATACAAGCCAGGACTGCATGGCCTTCTGGACTCAGATGACAGGTCCAATCACCAGCAACCATGCCTGCACCAAGTTGGACTTCCACTTGGCAAATGGAAACTGGCCAAGTATAGATGAGGTGGTGGCTGACCTCAACTCAAGATTCTGGCCCATGAACAATGGGGATTGGGCCCAGAAAAGGATGCAAAAGGCAAGGCAGGGAGAGTCTCAAATGGATGCCTTTCTGGCAGAGTTCAATAGTTGGAAGCTCATGGCAAGCACTTCCAACAACCCAGCTGTCCTGTGCCTTGAACAGGCAATAAACCCCAAGGTGCTATGGCTCATGCACCATATGTGGAAAAGAAAGGACATGTACAAAGAGTATGTAACTGAGCTCCAGTTGGTGGCTGGCAATTTTGAAAACCACTGATACATGACAGCCTCCTCCTTGAGGGTATGGCCTCAGAACCAACCTCATGGCTTTTCAGCCACTGGCACTCAGCCTGGGGCCAGCACCCCCATGGACATAGGTGCTGTTCCACAGCAAGGAAAGGGGAGGGGACCCCCTAAGGACAAGTCCCACATCATGTGCTTCAGATGTGGCCTGAAGGGCCATTACCACAGTGAGTGCCCAAAACAGGCACAATCACAAGGATGTCCCATCAGGGCTGTATGTGCTGACACTGGACCTGATCCCTGCCTAAAGGCTATGGAGGGAATGAGCTTTGAGCAGATCATTGCTCATTATCAGCCAGTTAAAAGAATCAGAGCTGCAGTGAAATTGGATCCTGCAGACTCTAGCATACAGACATTTGTTCCTGTTTCCTCTTCCTCTTCCTCTACCTACAGATTTCATTCTACTTATGGACTTAAAATACAAAAGAAAATACAAGAATTGAATATAAAAATACCAAAAATAGTGTACCAGTAGTTTCCCTCAATCACTTCTCTTTTCTTGATGTTGAAGAACCACAGGATATATTTAATGGTTCAGAATCTGTTACATCATCTGAAGTGGAGTCCTGAAAGGGCTCAGGGCCAGATGTAAAACCTTGCCTGCTTAATTCCACTTGCAACAAAAAACAAAAAATGTTTCTTTTGATCTCCCAGATCTAGAGGGTAGTGGTGCAAAGACCACCATACAGTCTGAAACCCAACACATGCTGAACCTGAAAGATTCTGTGGAGGTCCCCTTGGTTTTGTGAATGAATGCCAGTCTGGTGTTCAAAGTCAATGCACTGCTTGATAGTGGTGCTACTGGAGTATTTATAGGTAGAAGCTTTGTAGAAAGGACCCAGATTCCAAAAATAGTGCTGCCAAGTGTAGTGGATGTATTTAATGTCAATGGTTCCCCTAATTCTGCTGGAATGATTACACATCAGGCTCACCTTTGAGTCCAATACCTTGACCATCATGAAGAGCTTCTTGCTGAAATAACCAATCTAGGAAGTAGTACCATGATCTTGGGATATACCTGGTTACATCAGCACAACCTGCTGATAGATTGGAAGACCAGCAAGGTCAAAGTGGGTAGATGCCTGGCTAGATGCCAACAGTTAGCCCCCAAGCCTTTGTTTGTACACAGGGTAGAAAAACTCAAATGAGAAGCCTTGGACTCTTGTGTATCTTGGATCTCAGATCTCAAGATGGACAAGCTGAAAATAGATAAAACCCCTGAGGAACTTGTTCCAAAGGCATATCATGAATATTTATTGGTCTTTTCAGAAATGGAATCTGAGTGCATGCTGCTTAGGAAACCTTGGGACCATGCTATAGAACTAAAGGAGTCATTTGTACCAAAGAAGGGAAGGTTGATCCCTCTCTCCCCTGACAAGCAATGAGAAGTCAGTGACTTCATTGATGAACAACTCAAGAAGGGTTATATTTGGCCTAGTAAATCACTGCAAACCTCTCTGGTGTTCTTTGTTCCTAAAAAGGATGGCAAAAAGCATATGGTCCAGGACTATTGTTATTTAAACAAGCATACCATCAAAAACTCATATCTGCTCCCTTTAATATCTCAGCTTGTTGACAAGTTGAAAGGTTGCAAACTCTTCATGAAGATGGATCTTCGCTGGGGTTACAACAACATTAGGATCAAAGAAGGAGACAAGTGGCAAGCTGCTTCATAT